TGTGTGTGTGTGTGTGTGAGAGAGAGAGGGGGGGGGGAGAGAATGAGTTTGAGGACAAGTGCACAATGTCCCATTTCTAGAACATTCCATCATCCCTTCACTATTCATCCTTTACCATTGTTACAAGTGTTAATACATGGACTGATTCATTTAAGGCTCATGACAGCTCTCCCAAGCAGGTGGACTACCTGAGTTGATGTTTTCAGTTAGTGAGAATGTCTAGATTTGAACCCAGGATGTAGAATCTGTGACATTACCCATGGAGCCACATGCTTTTCTGTGTGACATTATTCAATAGTTTGTCCAGTAACCACCTCACTGGGCTTGGGGGGAGTGTCATTGTGTTCTTGTTTCACATGAAGAAACAGAGAGGTATAGTTACTTTCCTAGGGTCACACAGCTACTAAGTGGCTCCTGGGGACAAGCTGGGTATAGGGATTCAATAGTGAGTGAGCCAGATATCAACAGCTGGGCTAGGGAAGTGGCATCTTGCAGTGTCCCCAGAGGGGACTTTACAGGCTCCAGAGAAAGTTGGGGCTGAAGAAGAGAAGGATAGGGTTGTGAGTAACCCCACTCCCATGGCTGCTCCTGAGCTGAGGCTGAAGAAGACAGAACAAAATAGAAGCTGTTGCTGTGGGCTGGGAAACCACAAGGAACCAGAGACTGGGTCACTCCACAAAGGCCTACTGTAGCAGAGGAAGTGTGCCTGGGGAGGGATCCGGGGCTCCATCTCTGGTGGGGAACAGCCTTGGACCCAGGTCAATCAAGCCAGACTCCTCTGGGTATCTCTCCTGAAAGCTGCCCAGCCCTGAGGCCTGCCTCAGGGATCTAGAGGGCAAAGCGGCAGGGGGTCTTGAAGTGGAGCCTCCCTGGGTTCCCAGGAATCTTGGAGGTGGCCCAGGCAGCGCGTGGGAGGCGTCAGGACAGGCTTAAAACCAAGCAGACCCAGCTGCTGCCTATTCTCTGGAACGGAGGACAGAGAGGGGCCCTCAGGTGAGACTCTCATTCCTGGGGCTGCCCAAAAGGGGTGAGTGGGGGCCTGCCCCTCTGTCGGGGAGCAGAGAGAGGCCGCCCCGGGGTGCTGGCATCTCAGAGCTGCCTGGACCATTGTATTCTTTTCCAGGAAGGATATGGGAATGGGGGTCCTGGGCGTATGGGGCTCCCTCATGTGGCCTTGAAGGACCTGTTCCTCACATGACCTTGGCAGTACCCTGGCTGCCACATCCACATTCCTCCTCTCTGCGTCCGTCCCTCTAGTCTGCCTCGGCCTTCCCCACCTTCCATTATCGCAGCCCTGCTCCACTCTGAAATTATCCCACAGTGCCCCTGTGCCCCGTGGTCATCGATAAAAACAGACAAGCCGTAGCCTTGTCCCAGGGCTGCCTTGGGCTCCAGCCATGATGGACAGCTGTCTCCAGGTCCTACCGCCAGCTCCTCCTCTTATCTTTACAACTCTTTTGTAGGGACTCCCGCTGTACCCCCACAGCTATGGTGTGGTCCAGGGAGCTCTGTAGAGTCCTGGGTGGGGACAGCAGGTCAGAAAAAGGATGACAATGTGAGAGTCTTCTGTTTACAGTCCACAGGAGAAGAGGGCTACAATGCCAAGCTGAGTCACACTGGGTGGGGTTGTCACTGGTTCAAGTGAGTCTGATGAGAAGAAAGGGAGCAGAGTGGATTAGCTGGTGAGATTCGCCTCAGCAGCCCCGGGCTTCCCTCGAGGGACAGTTGGCCTGACACTGATTGGACTGGCCTGAGAGAGTTAAGTGTGTGGGTGCTGGGGTTGAAGCTTTTGACTTGCTTGACTGGTGTGTGAAAAGCATGCCCGCAGGAGAGCCAGGTCCTAACTGTAGGAATTGGCCAGCCTCCAAGGGGGCACGTTCTGTTTATCGAGATCATTGAGATGTCAGAGCTTTATGAAATAAAACATATGGGCTGGGAATGGAGCTCGGTTGGCAGAGCGCAAGCCTAGCATGTATGAGGCCCCGGGTTCGACCCGGCACTGCATAAACTGGCTGTGATGGTTGGTGCGTGGAGGAAGTGGGATCAGGACTTCAAATCAACCTTGGCTACCTAGTTCAAGGTCAGTCTGGCCTCCAGGACACCCTGACAAAAGAAAAAAGAAAGGGGGAGGGGGAAGAAAGACAAAAAGGAAACAGGAAAAGAAAGGCAGAGCTAACCACAGGGTAGCTCAGAGAAGGGGGGAGAGTGAGTAGAAGAAGGGGACTCACCAGTCTGGGTTAAACCTTTGGGCAACTGTTTTCACCCCTGCGAGGGCTCTCTGTCTCTGTCTCTCTCTTTCGTGTGTGTGTGTGTGTGTGTGTGTGTGTGTGTGTGTGTGTGTGTGTGTGCTCGCGCCTGTGCTAAATGTGAGCATAGCGGTTGGAGAGGAGCATTGGGTGACCTGTTCTACTGCCCCCCCCCCACACACACTTACTCCCTTGAGACAGGGTCACTCACTCACTGAATCTGGAGCCTCTGGAGTCGGGCTGACATCAGCCAATCCCAGTGACCCTCCTGTCTGTGCCCCACAGCATTAGGGTTAGAGGCAGGTGAAAACACACCCAGCTCGCTTTATGAGGGTGCGTGCTTGCACAGCAAGGGCTTTAACTCACGGAGCTATCTCCCCAGCCCCTTGCCTGAGCCTTGCAGTTCCTGAATCTGCAAAATCAACAACTGTCGCCTGTTCATCCATTCATCCGACAAGTCCCTGTTGAAGGGGAGAGACAGCGGCTTGCCAGGGTGTACCTGTCAAGGCCATGGGTGGTTTGGGGGCGACATGGATGGTGTCTGGCACATGGAAGATGCCCAGTGTGTAGTCTCTGGTGTCTCTGCTTCAGAACAGCTTCAGAAAGGCAGCAGAGGAGACTGCTGTGGAAAGGATCGTCTAGTGCGCTTGGATCTGGGTGCTTGGAGCCCTCAGAGCAGAGGCTGTGTGGGGACAGAACTCTCAGGAATGTTCTTGGAACTCAGAGGTGCTCCTGAACAAAGGCCATCTCAGTAGCCAGGAGAGTTATGCTGTGTTTGCAGGCCATGCCTTTGGGGATGCCAGGGACCTGGGCAGAGAGCACTAGCACGGAGACCCAGCCACTTGGGGGCTTGGAGACAGTGTGGCACCCAAGAGGAAGTCCTAGCTGACCACAGGCCAGCTGAATAGCTGGGAACACTCAGGGATTCAGGGATCCTGGGAGGGGAGAAGAGCAGGCAGCTGCCAGCAGAGGAATCTTCTAGAGGCCACTTGGAAACCTTGCGTTTCCTCTGCCTATGGCTACGACGGCTTGCAAACTTCCAGCCAGGAGTCGTGTTTTTGCTCAAGAAAGACACTAAGGTGGGAGCCCTAGAGGATGAACTTCATGGAAGACAGAACCCTAGGGTGAGAGAATTTGCCCACCTGGGTTCACATTCTGACTCCACTCAGAGCCTGAGCCTCATCTTCCCATTGGCCCATGGGGACAGGGACACCTCTAGGACTGTCAGAAGACCTCCAGTGTGCTTTGGGGCCACAAAGCCACAGTGAAGTCCCCAGTGGCCAGGATGGGTGCTGGACTCCATTCCAGAGCACCAGTTCTGGCTAGTCGCCATTCTCAGTGCGGGAATTGTGGGGAGAAACAGCTACAGCCCTCAAATAACTCAGAGAACCCAGAGATGTCAGCCCCATGAACAACAGGAACAAGATACAAGCGTCAGCCCCCTCCGCCCTCAGTGCTCCAGCTCCTTCTGCTCACGAATGCTCCAGCTCCCTCCTCCCTCAGGATTCTAACTCCCTCCTCCCTCAGGATTCTAACTCCCTCCTCCCTCAGGATTCTAACTCCCTCCTCCCTCAGGATTCTAACTCCCTCCGCCCTCAGTGCTCCAGCTCCTTCCAACCTCAGTGATCCAGCTCCATCTACCATCAATGCTCCAGCTCCCTCCTCCCTCAGTGATCCAGCTCCCTCCTCCCTCAGTGCTCCAGCTCCTTCTGCTTATCAGTGCTTCAGGTCCCTCCACCCTTTATTTACATTTTATTTGGTGTATGGTGCGTATATGTAAAGGTGTGCACCTGGAGATCAGAAGACAATTTGCGGGAATCAGTTCTCTCCTTCCACCGTGTAGGTCCCCGGGATCAAACTCGGGTCACCGGCTTGTCAGCGGGCTCCTCTCCCACTGAGCCACCCCACCAGCAGCCCTCCACACTGATTCTTAGCTGTGTCTAGGGCCATCAATTCCTGCCCTTAACCTTGTGCCCCTAGCATCCATTTACACATCTGCTGGGGGACAAATGTAGGGGCCACTTATCACTGCCACTTTCTGGTGGAGTCAATAATGACCCTCTGTCTCCAGAGAGTTCGGTAGATCAAGGCCCGGAGGCTTTGCCTCGTCTTTTCTGGCTGGAGCAGTCCGTGGATTACCCAACGAGGGAGGGAACACTCAGACCTAGTTAGGTGCTGGGTGGGGTCTGAACAGGCCTTGGCGGTGATGACTTCAAAGACACCATGGGATGTGTTTTGTTTTCCAGAACCCAAGAGATGAAGGTCCTCCTCATACTGACTTGGTTCCTGGCTTGCAGTAAGTGTTCCTGGCTTGCTCCGTGACCTCTGAATGCCCCCTACCCCAATCTTTGGAGTGACTGGGTAGTGGAAAGGAAGATGAGGTTCAGAGACCTGTGTCTGAGTCTCAGCCCCACCCTTCTGGGGCGGACGAAGATATCAGCAAAGGCCTTGGTCTCCCTGGGCCCTGCTTCTGTGCTGGATGACGTGGGGCTGTGGCGGGATTTGGATGCTGTGGGTCAGGGTGCGAAGACTGGGAAGGTGAAGAATGCGGGAGGCAGACATTTTCCCTGACGTGTAAAAATAGAGTAAGGACAAATGGCAAGAACAGAGTAGAGCACAAAATCCTTAGGAAATATCCCAGCTCCGGGCTGGGGGCCAGCTCAGAAGCAGAGCACTTATGACGTAGCAGTACATTAGGTTCAATGAACAACAGAGAGAGAGAGAGAGAGAGAGAGAGAGAGAGAGAGAGAGAGAATAGAGAGAGAGAGAGAGAGAATAGAGAGAGAATAGAGAGACAGACAGACTCCAGTTGATTCCGGAGTCATTCTCTGCTCAGTATTTTTGCATCCCACCCCATCTGGGAGATTCTGAAAAGTTGTGGGGCAGCCACTAGAGAAGACTGCTTGGACATGGGTTTAAGCCAATAGAAAGTTTATTAGCTGGCTGGCGGCTACACTGGGTGAACCTTTCTCAGCGTGAGCTTTTAAGTACAAACACTGTATTCTGGTTTGACATACTTCACTTAACAAGAACAGTTAGCCAGAAGCGGAACTACAGAAACCAAGGAGCAGGGTTAGTGCACTTAGAGACTTTCCCAGAACTATGATGGACTTTGATGGATTGGGCCTTTGTTTTTGTTTTGGCTGATGGTGCTGCATGCGTGCTGAGTTTTATGGAATGGTACTTCCATCATGGAGTCAGTCATGCTAAGGTCTCGGGGCCTGGTACAACACATCTGGCTTTAGGCTTCACTGCAGCCCCATAGGCCCTCATACAGGTTACCTGGTGGGTAATTCTGCTCTTTGATGTCATGCCAGCTATTTGGAGGTCCTAGGAGGAACTTGAGACCCAAGGCAGGAAAAGTGCCCCTAGTTCCTTAAGTTGAAAACCCTAGGCAAGATGCTTCCTTCTAGACTTTCTGAGTGTTCCTGCTCGGTTTCCCAATTTATAACACAAAGGAGTTGGCTCCAAGCTATGACCTACTCTGCTTCTAAATTCAATTTTTAAAAAAATTGTTTTTTAGAAAGCATCTCTTGTAGCCAAGGCTGGCCTTGAACTTGCTATGCAGCAAAGGATGACCATGAACTTCTGAACCTCCTGCTTCCACCTCGTAGGTGCTAGGATTACAATCATGCTCCACACCCACTTTACAAAGTACTGCTGACCAAAACTAGGTCTTCATGCATGCTAGGTGAGCACTTTGTCAACTGAGCCACATCCCCTGGCCCCCAAGTGCAAACTGTTTTTTGGGGGGGTGGGTTTTAAGATAGGGTTTCTTTGTGTAGCCCTGGCTACCCTGGAACTAGCTCTGTAGACCAGGCTGGCCTCAAACTCACAGAGGTCTGCCTGCACCGGTGCTGCCCGGCTGATAGACGTTTAACCTCTAGTCCAGGTTATGTCGTCGGCCTGGCCCTCCTCCCATTAACTGGGAGGCTAAGAGAGGGTGGGGGGGCAGGTGGGGGGGTTGCTGCAAAGTGCTCAGTGTCACGGGGGGCTGGGCTGTTTTCCAGGTGTGCCTGCAGTGCCCGGGGGCTTGCTGCAACTGAAGTCCATGATTGCGAAGGTGACTGGGAAGGATCCAATAATGAATTATGGCTTCTATGGCTGCTACTGTGGCTGGGGCGGCAAAGGGACCCCCAAGGATGGTACTGACTGGTGAGCTGATGTCATCACAACATGTAGTGCTCTGGCTCTGCCCTCATCGCCTCCCCTGATTCCACGTGTCTACTCTAAATGAGAAGTACAACCGAGGCCCGGGACTAGAGAGATGGCTCAGTGGTTAGGCGTGCACACTTCTCTTGCAGGCGACCTGAGTTCGGTTCTCAGCATCCACGTTAGTCAGCTCACAACCACCTGTAACTCCAGCTGCAGAGAACCTGATGCCTCAGGCCTCTTCAGGCACCAGTGTTCACATGTGCACACACACACACACACACACACACACACACACACACTTGAAACTAAAATAGATTTTTTTTTTTTGAGACAGGGTCTCCCTATGTAGCCCAGGCTGTCCTGGAACTCACTCTTTAGACCAGGTTGACCTTAAACTCACAGAGATCCCCCTACTTCTGCCTCCCAAGTGCTGGGATTAAAAGTGCGCTCCACTATACCCGGCTTCTAAAATAAATCTTTTAAATAAGTGAAACTAAGAGTCAGATGAATTAATCAGCTTTTAAAGATATGCCACGTAACTCCCAAGAGTTCCAAGATCTCGATGGCCTAATGTGTCACTTGGTTTATTGAAATGTAACAAACAGATGATCCTTACGTGTTGGCTTAATGCAACCATGATTGTTTACTTTGCTCATCCACCTGCCATCTGGGGATGGCTGGCAGGATGGCTCCTATCTGCTCAGTTTTCTTTTGCAAAGCCTGTCTGGGGCTGGATGATGATCCACACCACAGGCCGCTCATGGCTGTGGCTAGGGTTGTCACTGTCTGTGGGTGGAGCCTCAGGCCCATTCTATATGTTCTTTGCAGGGCTGTCTCGACTTTCTAACAGCATGGTGACACTTGGGGGGTATGAACAAACATTGCCAAACTACAAGGCAAAAGAGAATGGCTAGTTGGATGTGGAAGCGTGAGCCTGTGATCCCAGTACTGGGCAGGTAGAGGCAGGATGGCTAGTTGGAGGTGGGAGTGTGGGCAATCCCAGTACTGAGGAAGAAGAGTCAGGAAGAGCAAGAGTTTGAGGTTGATGTGGGCTATATAGCAAGTTCTAGGTCAGCCTTAGCTGCATGGCAAGATCTTGTCTCAAAAACAATAAAAGATAGTATTTTTATCATAGACCTCCAAAACTCCACAATGTTGCCTACATAGCTCTCTTAATTGGTCCAGCACAAAAGCTCAAAAGAAAAGAGACCTAGGCTAGCCAAAGAGTACACAGATGCAGCGGGGGATGTTCTATGACTGCTGTCAATGTGAAGACCAGCTCAGGAGATGGGCAGCTCAAGAGAGATCTCAGATGGTCTCACCACAAAGAAATGCAGGTTTGAGGTGATGGATAAGTGATTTGCATCCCTACAATGGTTGTACAATGTTATGGTTAACTTAGTTATTCCTCTCTCTCTCACTGTGACAAAATAACTGTCAGAACAACTTTAAAGTGTGATCAGCTATTTTGGCTCACAGTTTCAAAGGGTTCAGCCCATGGCCACTTGGATCCATGTTTCTGGGCCTGTTTTAAGGCAGGATATGATGGTGGGAATGTGTGGCACTGGAGCTCCTTCGCGGTGAACAGGAAGCAGAGAGAAGGATACAGAAAGATGACAGGGCAAGGTTATCATCGCCAGGGACACACTTCCAGTGGCCCACTTCCTCCAACTAGGTCCTACTTCCACCTTTTACCACGTCCTAATAATGCCATTATAGCGGTAATGCTGAGGATTAAAAACAGAGACAAGACAGCGGGTTATTTGTCTCAGCAGAATGCCGAATGTCGTTTATTGAAGGAGGGAAGAGACCTTAAATACAGGCTTACAGCACAGTGGGAGAACCCCGAGGGCAGAAGTTCGCTACAGATGTTTTATATACTTGCATCCTAGCTGTTTATGCCAAATGCAGGCTACACAAACAAGGAACCTCCATTCAGGAGGAAGGAAACCGGCAGGGAATCAGCATATGGAGGACATCTGGTCAAGGTCAGCAAGCAAGGCAACAGCTACCCCAAAACAGGGGG